ACCAGCATTTGCGGATTTAGCGACAAACTATGTTCACAGACATTGGTTTTATAGTGGGACTTTGAGCCTCACAGACCAGTGAACCCCTTCACATCTGCACTTCTGAGACTCTGCCTCTCCAGGGAAACCTTTTTATACCTAGTCAAATTACTGACCTGTTGCAAATTTATTAGATGAGAGATGTCTTTGCAGGTGTCCTGTTAACATAGTGAAACTTCTTCAGTGTTTTGTCCCTGTCCCAACTGGTTTGAACTGTTTTACATTTTCTCAGATTCAACATTTGATACATTGTCTTTGCTATTCCCAATCAAATTAGAGCCTTGAATGATTTCTAACCCATCAAAAGTTAGTTTTTACCAACATTTTACAATCTCAACTCTTTTGGAAGTTAGGGTCAGAAATTTACAGAACTACTACGGAAAACACAGTGCTCTTATTTGTGTTGACTGCCAAAGCAATTACTGTGTCAAAATGTTCACATTCAAAATTCAAGAATCAGAACAAAAGTTTGCAGAACACGTGCGAGGGGCCAGAAATTGTTAAAAGTACTCTTGCTCCTTACCTGTGTCTGTGCTCGTCATGTCCTCCCTGTCCATGTATGATCACCTGTCCAGAGGCATGCTTCCCTTCTTTGGGAGGGTCAATATGAGGAATGAGCACATCCTCCAAGCCCAAGTCGAAGCGCTTGTGCTTGGAATTGTCCGGGAGGAAGAAGAAGGCCCCGAAGCATAAGGTGATGAAGGCACTGAGAATGAGGAGGAGGATGAACTTCTCGGAGAGCCTCAAAGTTGCCCTGTGGTGCGGGAAAGAGGAGGCTCCTGGCGACAAAGTGGGTATCCTGCGGCCTGACAGCGGCAGGAGAGCCGGGGTCGTCATGTTGTGACTGCTGAAATGAACTTGCGGCCTGAGGGGGAGGGGGTTAAGGGTGGGTAGGGTAGGTTTACAAGTGCCACAGGTGTTGTTGTAGCAGCATGCACGAGCAGGTTGACTTTATTATCTCATCCCGGTATTGATAAATCCAGAAATAGAAAAAGGCCAATGTCCCTCAGCGAAGGAGAGACTGGTCAGCAGGAAAACGGCCATGATGATTCTGGAAAAAAGAGACATTACAAAGAATTAGGGAATGCCTCTTAGTGGTAGAAAATGATTTAGGTCAACCTTTTATATAGTTTCCTTTGTTTGACAATGCTCCACCCTTGCAGTGTAACCCAAGTACCCACTAGTATCACCTAGTACTCTGTGATGGGCTTACTTTCAGCCCTGCAGTTCTGAATTATGATCAAAACACACACAAGAAACTGGTCTGTCATATTTCAAGAGATAGCTGAAATATCAGAGTAATAAACAATTCTCCTGCACGCTACGGGGGGATTTAACAACATGCCATCTGAAAAATAAATACTCCACAATCTCTGGCTCACACACACAAAACACTTAATCTCTTAGCCATGAGAGAAATGACAAACATATTTTCCAGGGGCTTAAGGTATCAGGAGGCTGTGCAATATCTGTGAAGCCATCACCAAACTGGACTCTGCTCATGGCGGCATCTCTGACATTGCAAAATGAACCGGGTTCTCTATTTTGCTGTTTAATAGCAGTACAGTGCCTTGCAGCTGGCATTTAGAAATACGTAAACAATAAATTGCAAATAGTGAGGGATGAGGAGCAAGATCTGCGAACATACATATCATCTCTCCACATGTATGCATCGCAGTCGACTACAATGATCATACTCATGGTAATCCTTTGCAAAGAAGGGCAAGATAAGGAAGCAGAATAAAATACTTAGGACGCTCTTATAAGAAAATTTGTGCTGATGAGATAAAAATAACAACTGACCTGACAGCTGATTTTTTTGACCGCTCATTTGTTTTGTTTTGGGACCAATTTTTATGCTCATTTTATGTCTATTGGCATAATTCCCCTAACTGGCCAAGGACCCAAATTAACCTTAGTTTGAAAATTATTTCAAGCATGCACTTGCATCTCCAGGACCTTTGCATTGATGGGACTGTAAGGGTTAAGGAAACAGTTAGATGCTTAAAATGGTTACATTACGCACTAATAAAACAAGGATATAGGATACTAGTGTGTTCCTTGTAAAAGTAGCATGTCTCTGTGGTCCCAGAGGGTACAGAATCAGGACCACATCTCTGTGACTGCAATTTGAAGACCCCCATTGCTTGCAAAAGCACTACCTTGTCTTGCAATGGACCACATTTAAAGTGTCTACCTTGTGGTTTAGAGTAGGGGTGCACCAATCACAGTTTTCTGGCTGATCACCGATCTTGAAAAAGCTTGACCTGCCGATACCGATTTTGGCTGATACCTTTTTTTTTTTTTCATAACTGACAACATACAGCTTCGATGCTCCAATCTTATTTTAATGAAAAACATTCAACAATACAATTTTTTTGGGTTTGTTTCAACGTCACATGAGGTAGTTCTCTCAAATATAAATGAAAAGTTTAGAATATTGCTGTCCAAACTACTAAATTATATCAGTTCCTTTAGTCTTTTATTTTCCACATTTTGAATATTAACAATACTTGCGCAACAGGTGACACTGCAGGCCTGTCTTCCCCAGGATGCGTCTTTTCCCCCCGGAAAGTCGCAAAATCGCATCGAGCTTGATGTGTATAGTCAGGCGCGTGAAAATTCGCCTCCGGATATTTCGTACTTTCGCGTTCTATATTCGTGTCGGCTCCAGTGGACCTTTGGGATAAACCGATTACCGATCCCACAAAATGGAAGAAATCGGCGTTGGTCGATCAGCGGGACGATTTATCTGTGTATGTTGAGTTTAGAGTGCTCCATAACCGTATTAAGTGTCTAGCCATGATCCTAACCAGAAGTAGAAGTGTTGCAGCAACAACAGAGGGGTACTAGAGATGCCGTCCCTGAACTGTGCTCATGAAAATGCAACCTCCAGCTCTGCTCTGGTGCACCAAGTGGTCTCCTCACAAACATCAAGAGCAGCCTTGAGTCTGCAGCCTCAGGATCTGCAGAGACATGCTACTCAAGATGGAAGATGAAAGAAGAGTAATTAACCTTAATCCAAATCCCCACTTCAACTTTAACAGCCAAAACACCACAAGGGTCCAAAAAATGTGGTCACACAATTTCGGCCCTGAAACTGCAGCCTCCAGCTCTGTAAAGACATGATGCTGTGGGACACCAATATTCAGCCAGTATAGAAGTGCATCCCTTTAAAATTCGCTGCATTAATCCACCCAGTGCTTTTCTTATATAAAATTAACCCTTGTGAGTAAGTCGGATGTCTGCATCTAAGATAGGCACGGGCTTTATTCTTCCACGGAGAAGACGAGGAGCAAAATGTCCCATTCCGCTCTGCGTCTCCAAGTTAATGTGAAGGCTGGATGGAAATTAAACGCGCAGCCCCCCCAAACACTGACACAGGCGGTTGAATAAATACCCGAAAGCTCAGTGAGGCTACTGTGAAATACAGAAATGTATCATCTCTTCTGTGTGTGTGTTTAACCCTGCAGTTTTCCGTCAGGTCTGTGTGAATCTATGATGTCTCGGCGTCTCCTCACAGAATACCAAGTTCATTCTGTGACAGTGCCAGCCTGTGTGGAGTGATTAGCAAACACAAAATGCTAGCTAACGAGCGGCTAACCTACCCGGCTAACGCTGGCGAGCAGAAAAAAAAACTCACAGGGAAAAATAAACAGATACACTAGGCAGGAACATGAATCGCGAATGAATAAAACCCGGAGTGTATCTTCAAGTTTGCTGACAAATAATATATTCTATTTGTGAGGCAGACGAACGTATAAACTGCTAGCTATTCTGCTAACGCTAGCGCTAGCTGGCTTTAACTGACAGACGGTGTTCGCCCAACGGCAGCGAACTGACGCGGCTGGAAATTCGCCCCCATTCATTGTGAATTGCAAGCGACCATTTCGCTTCCCAAAGCATGATGGGAAACCTGAAGACGCGGACCAGCCATAGCGCCACTTTTTAACAGCGTTTCTCCTTAGCTATCTCATAATTAACCATTTTAAGAAAGTGGGGGTCTTTTTTCGAGTTAAATGCCCGAGTAGGAGGCTGTATGGAAAGAAAAGACGCACAAATTCGAGACAACAAGTGACCAACGACGCCGGTGGACGCGAAGTTAGCGCGAACTAGTCGCGTGTGGTAGGTCCGTACCGGGAGATGGTTTCTTGTGCTGCATCACCACCTTTCTCATTTGCTCGGTGAAAATCGATGCCAGTCAGGATTCCCGATCCGTTTTTTTAAAGAAGTCACTGTAGCAGGTGTCCTCATGTCCACAAGTGTTACACCGTCATATCCAGGCTCCAGTTTGAATCCTTAGCTGTTCATTCGGAGCCACATAGCGTCACAGCTCCGCGGACGTTGGGAGGATGTTGATGAGTGGCCGCTCTGTCGGACTGCAGCGACGGACTGCCTGACTGAGCTGCTGCCGCTGCCGCTGCTGCTGCTGCCGCTCTGCGATCCAGCATCAGCTATTCAGCCTGCCCGAGTAAGGGACCGTCTGACAGTGACGTTGGCTGAAAACAACGTAAAATGGTTTAGGGCAAGGCACCGTTCAAACATCACACATATTTCTCTAAATATTTCGTGAGAAACACAAAATAAAAGTTGTTGAAGAATCATAAAAAAAAAATTCAGTTAAAAAAAATGATAAATGCTATTTTAAAAAAATACTGTGAAATGATTCATGTGAAAAAACTGGAATGTTCAACATCACACATAAAAAAGCAGTGGCTTACAAAGGCATGAAAGAGAAACTGAAAATATTTTCTAGAACTTTTAAAGAATTTTTCCAAAATTTAACAATATTTAATTAAGATAAAAACAAAAGACATCACAAAAAATTGCGAATGAAAAAATATTTTATGAAACACAAAACTACATTTAATCAAATTAACATTTTTTTAATTGCAAAAATCATTTCACAGATTTTAAAAATATTTTACAATTATTAGGGTGATAATTATATCTTAGTGTGGGCCTTTTACACACTTTGAAGGTTAACTGGAACAATGGAGATACAAGATGTCTTCTTGTCCTGACCTTAACCCATTTTCAAGCTATAAAGAGAACATGAACGAGACAAAAAAAGAGTCAATTTGAACATTTAACAGTTCATTACAACTGTATTGGACAAATAAATTATGAATGTTAGTTGGTTTAACTCTGTGGAATGCTGTTTTATTTGACAGAGGTGATGAGGTAATATCATAAAGCTCCTATAGTTGAAGGCTGCAGATTAATGTGGAGGAAGTGGTAGAGCCAAAAGTATGAGCCCTGTACTGATGTAGGGCAGAAGTGGTGATGGCATAGAAGAGGGAGAGACAAGAAATCCTGTGGATGAAATAGACCACCAAACGAAGAAGATAGTTTTTCAGGTGATTGTGGATGCAATGTCAAATGTGAAATCAGTGCAGCTTGAGTTGCCTGTATGAACTCGGTAATGGGTGTCATCCCAGGAATAAATCAAGTTTTGATGTATTTTACTCAAGTAATACTTGTTTTAATGGGCTTTACTTATAGCTCCCCTGGGGAACTTTGGCTGTTGACCATCAATAAAAGATGCTACATAAAATGTGGTTAAACATTTTCCAGCTCCTTTCCAGAAGTTATAATTTCATTCAGACTCAGACTTGATTTGTAAAGCACTTGTTATACAACAATGTAACACAAAGCACTGTACATAAAAAGAAAAGACAACTAATACCGAGAAAGGTACTGACATTAATTACATTCTATTTAAATAAAAGTAAAAATAAAAGTGCTGATTTTGAAAAAAACTACGCAGAAAAGTAATATAGACAAAAACTACCCAATTACAGCAACATGAGTAAAAGTAATGAGTTATTTTCAATGCCTGCATACTCCATTCATGTGACCCAACATGACGTGCATTTTTGTTCCATTTTGAAACTCTTACAGCTACATTTCTTGTAAGAAGAATGGTGTGCTGTTTTCTGTTATGTTTGAATTGAGTAATGCAGTCGACAGAGCATTATTGCCTCAAGGATAGTGACAAACTTTAATAGAAAATACTGAATGTTGAATAACCGTTTGCAAAAACTCCACAGAATACTCTGAACTAATTCACGAAAGCTCAGAATAAGTAAAGAAAAAGACTTAAATCAAACCCTTGTAAAGGAAAATTATGCGCAGATCAATAATTTGAATGACTGTAAAAGAAAGAGACATTAGAGAGGGATTTCCTGGTCATTTTTGGATGCTACCTCCATTAGTAAACTACTCTTTATTACCTACATCACCAGTAAATTTACGTTATAAATGGTTGCAGCACCAAACTGAATAGTCTTATCAGATGCACTCTCTTTTATCAAAAGCAGTATGAGCTATGTGTGCCAAGAAGGACACCGTCTATCACATTAATCTCCAGGTGTATGCAGAAAACATTCCTTCCTTTCTTTGATCCTGACACGAGCGCTTTGTCTTCTTTTTCAGTGCAGACACACTGCTGAATTTTAGGTGCCACTTTGATTTCAGGAGCAATTCTTCCACTCTCAGATCACTTTTCCCTTTCGCCCTGGACCAAAAACCACAACCCCAGCCAAGAACTCACTTGGCGTTCTCCACAAGTGAAGGGTGTAATTTGTTAGAAACCTCAGAGAGGACACATCTCCTGCTGCTAGATCGCTGACTTTGGGCTGTGTGTGGGCTACAAACCTGACTGACCTGCAAACTTTTGGAGATGCAAGTGACAAAGGTGAAGGAGATCTGCAAATCCATCTCAAACTTCAGTCTCTAGCTTTGGTAGCATGAGAGGGGAGTACAAGAATATATTTCACTAATATGGACCATTTAAAGCACAAGGAAGTCTGCAGGTCTTAAAAAAATATGTTCAAAGACATCAAACTGTCCAAAAGGAAGGTTTGTGGACATACAAAGCTGTTGAATGATTTCTAGAAAGATGCTGCTGCTGATTATCAAGTAAGCATGTTTCCATCCTGGCTCCAGGAAACTTAAGACAGCACTAGTCTAGACTAGATCATGAATATTTTAGTAGAGGATCATAACTAGTTGTATTCTGTCATCAGTTACACCCCGGGTACCCATGATGCCCACAGAATAAATCTTAGAAACTTTGCTCCCCTCTAATTTTCAATCCACAGATACAGTAGGGGAGACCGAGGCTTGTTGTCACATGGGTAAGTTGTCACATTGCAATTATCTTCGCCACCAGAGGGCGCAACTAAAAAGTGGAATACTAGTTTTCTTCCTTTACATGGTCAGGGGTTGTGTCCTGTCTGAGAAGAGAAGAGTACATTGTGAGCTGAGATGAGTGCCAATAAATCATTTCGCACAACCTAAAGTAAAAAAATTAACCTTATATATTTTAAAATAAGCTTCTTCCAGATAAAAATCCTAGCAGTGATACATGTGGACTTGTTAGAGGACAGATGAAGGCATCCTGTCATAGCTCAGTCATTGTTCTGTTTTAAGCTAACTTTAAGCTAGAGCTAGAATTAGCAGGCATGGAAATTTGGGGCAACATGTCTCAGTCATTTTGGGGTTAGTTGTCATGTTTAAAAGGGATTCAAATTAAGGTAGAGAGACTGCTTATCAGCACTTGTCATAATGAAATTTTGAACTTATCTTTACAGAAAAAAAAGTGGTTTAAAGGAGAGGAGAAAGCAAGAAAACATGGTCAGGATTGACAAAAGAAAAACAGAACGTGGCAGTGCAGTTCCTGACGTGATGCTGAGGACAGTCAGGCAGGTGACCCGAGCTCATAAATGATACTGGAGGACAATAAAGGACTTTAATGCCAACTACCATACCTTGGCTCAGTACTGCAAAACATTCACCCCAGTCCAAATACAGAGTCAGATAGCTCTCCAAACTTCAGTGCATGTTAATAATAACTTAGTTAACGTTTGTTTAATGACTTTTTCTTTCTCAATGATAAACATTTTCTGTGCCTGACTTTGATGTTCACTTTCATGTAAAAAAATGAGAACAACAATAATTATGTCCTTGTTTTATTAGCTGCAAAATCCACTGTGACATCTTACCCCATGTAGGGAGACAACTTACCCGATGGTGGGGCAACATGTCACATGTTCACAGTCTCTGTTTGATTGCTTACTGACATGAGATATAAGATCTACATGAATAGCTAATATATACCTGAGACTTTGGTCTTTTGCGTGGTACACATTTTGTTTACATATGATGTTTTGATTCTAAGTACTATATAAAAGTGTAAAAAGTGTGACAACAAGCCTCGGTCTCCCCTATATTGTACTGTTTTTACTCTGACTGCTCTGTGTTTTGATGTGAAAACAGTGTTTGGTTCAAAGCAGAGATAAAACTGTTTTGATGTGATTGTTCAATTTGCCAATAAAATCAGGTTTTATAAGCATGGATTGAAGGTAAGGTTTTGTGCTCACACTTTCGATAAAAGGGTAGAAAGTTTCAAGAAATGTGTCTCAGCATTTGAGAAAAGCGGCAGTAAAAGGTGCCGATAATTTATTCAGCGTTGAGAAAAGGCTGCTTGTGTGTTCGCCTGTATGGGCGTTCATATAGTCAGCTACAGCTCCTGCAAAGATACCTAAAGGAGCACCACAAATCACATATTTCTCGTTCAAGATTTAATATAAAATGCAGCAATAGCAATGCAATGTGTCTGTAAAAGAACCGCAGAGGAGAAGTCAAGGGCAAACTCAAACTTCATCTGTACAGGATGAACCACAAAAATGTGAGATATCTTGAGTTATCTTATTTTGACTGTGATTGAGTCACTTTTAGCAAGATAACAGTAAAGGTAGACACTTAAGTGATGCAAGGACTGGGTCCAGGAGGTTTAGTTGGATGAAATTCTAATTCTTATTCTTATTCAGTAGCATATTTACAAAGTTCTTTACATTTTTATACAGTCCAATTATACACAAATAGCTTGGGTTTGGTTGGGGATCACTTTGACAAGTTGGCTGTAATTTTATTGATGCATCTTTTGTTAAGACTGGTACATGCTAACTAACATGGGTATCTCATTTCGTATCAACATCTCAACTTGGATTAAAATGTAGTGCCTAGCATTTGCAAATATCTTGCTCCTCTTCAGCCCTACCCTATCACTCTAATACGGCTCGAAAAACAAACCATGATGGCTACTTTTTCTATTTATCTACAATCAATCTCTACATATTGAAGCGTAACTCAAAGTACAGGGCAGATGCTGACTTTACAAGCTCTACAAATTTCGTATCTCTTGATATTTCATTGTGATCGCTCCATATTGAAGGAAGGCTTTGCAGGCAGTAACTCTTCACCGTGACAATGTCAGTTCACATACCAAAGTGAGCTTTTCCCAGACAGGTAATCTATCCATGTACAAAGTTCAACCATAAAGACAGCCCTGCCTTTGCTGAGTGTGGACAGCTAGCTGCTGAGTCAATCGGTTGGTCCTTGAGCTGCCACCAGCTGCAGCCTCGCTCTCGGCCACACAGCCCGAGCCGTGGGGACATCTGATTTACAGGACACCCCTCAGTGAGTGAATTAGTGGCAATGCTGCGGCGTGCAATGTCGTAATCACTGTGAGTCACCCTCTTTGCTCAGCGAAGGGGGCTGGTGAGGTTTGACGCTACGCCAGGGCCCATGTGGGTGCATGGACACATTGAAAAAAAAAATTAGAGCTGAGCAGGGCACAAAAAGCTGACAGAATTCAACTCACAGCCAAGTCGCAGAAAAGGGGTGTGTGTGATAGTGTGAAAGAGAGGTTGTCCTCTGCTTCAATGCATCTTTGATTATCACTGTAAGAGAGATGGATGGCTGGACTGCGAAGGATTTATCACATATTTCACACCCACAGAGAACAATGCAGCAAAAACAAAACGTGCATTCTTTGTGGAAAGGAGACAGACAGAGCGGAAAATGAAACATGAAGAACAGAGAATTCTCACAGGAGGCCACAGCAGGACATGAGATGAATTGGTAACTATAGCCTAGAGCCACCTGTCCTTCAGCTACGTGCTTTACAGGATGGACTGGTGAATTACGACAGTTTCCACCTTGTGAATGACGAACCACACCAGAACACCTGAGGGAAACAACCTGTCAGTGCTTGAGCAAGGTCAACTGCAACCTCTGGCTCTCCTGGACAGCCGTCTGCGTGTGTGTCCATAGAGGAAGTGTGTGTGTATATGTGTGAAGTGTCAATCCCACGCTCGAGTGCTGGTAACTGCATATAGTGCTGAGGACGGGCTCCATGACACACTCTTGATTTTTGACATTCTAGTTAATGGTGCAGAGCGATGTCTTCGACACGACCAAGAACAGTGAGCGTGTGTCCCCCGCAGAGAGTGAGGCATGATGGGTAGATAAACACAACTGTGTCTGCATGGTTGGATATAGAACATTACCTTATATGCAGTAAAAAAATTGATATTCCCTATCTAATAAATGATAACAGTGATGTTTTCCTATCACTTTTACAGGTGGACAGACTTTTCCAAACAGCCAGTAATAATCAATGAAGCAAAAGGTTTAGTATGGACTTAAATAAAGACCCTCCAAGACCCCAGTTTCTGTGCAGGGTATCGACTGATCCTTCAAAAGTCTTTAAGAGGATTCAGTATTTGTAACTTCAGGGAATTAATTGTCAAGGTACTTGTCCCCTAACCAATAAGACATGGGCTCAATGAGGATACCCCACTGACAAGTTACATTGACTACTAAATGGTCACCTTCATCATGACCAGGCGAATTTTCCAGGTATTGCCATTACTTAAACTATCCTCTTTACCACTCTGTAATCAATGGACTGAGGATTCGCAGTGAGAACCACCACATCGATGGGGTCATCTTGTAGGCACCTTTCCTCATGTGTAGTTTGTCAAGTTGGGACAACAACACCTTAAGAAAAGTTCAACAAATAGCTATGGCACCCTGAAACTGCCCCCCTCCATCATACCATGTAACAGTGACACAAAAACAGACACGCAAAGAAAATAGTGTGTCAGACAGATGTTACAAAAAGGCTTCATCCAGGTTACTCCCCCAATTTCATGACAGAAGAGAGGAGAAAAGAGAGATTGGGGAAGATGAATGGTGTTTCCTGACTTTCCCACTGTCTTACTTCCATCTCCTTGTCTGTCTTTAGAAAAAGTATTAAATTCAACTCTAAAATGAATAGGAACACACTCAAATACTTTTACAATTTGCCAGTATTCTCTTTTCTCTTTTGGATTCCTGTATTTTTAATTCTCGTTTTTACCTTGAGCTTGCAGAAGTGCTGGCAGACGTTGAGACCCATTGACAGCATTCACTTCCTAGGGTTTAAGGTGAAAAGCAGAGTAAGTAGGTTTAACTACTTATTTTAAAAAGCTGTGAGATTTCTTTGGAAGCAGTTCACCCACATAGGAATGAAACTATGAAAACACGCTTGTCTCAGCAGTGATTCAGTCTCTGTATTTCACAGTGAAGGTGCTATTGTGCAAGGTTAGGACCCCTCAGCCATGAAATACACCAATAAAATGCACTAGTGGATGAAAGGGATGAAGAAATGCTCTCTGTGGTGTTGTAGCAATAAAGAGATTGATGATCATTGGAGATTATATTGAGTACACATTTGTCATAGTATTGGGGTTAAGTTTTTAAGGTTTGTTTGTTGATGAAAGTACTTTTTTTAAACAGAATACTTTTAGGAAACTTTTGATAAAATTGGCACCAAAATTATCAGCCACTTTTCTAGACAACCCAAAGTGCATGCGTCTCATTTTTGGCTTTTTTGTTGGTGATCAAAATAATTGCACATGACAAATTTGTGCTTTTCAATTTTTGTTTCTTAGGCAGGTTATAAAAACTTTTTCAGTCTGTAGAAAACCTGCCAATGGTTTCTACATTTTTTTCAGAATCTTCATTTTTCCTTTTTTATATTGAGCATTTTTTTGATAATTAAGCCCTGTTTGCTCCCATTGCATCTTGTTTTGTTTTACATCGCTCTCTTTTTCCCCCCATCTGCCGTTAAACTGAAATACAGCCACCATGATTTAAACAGGTGCCAGAAAACTGGAGCACCCACCGTTTCATCTTCTCTCTGTCTGTCTGTTAGTTTTACACTTCACTCTAAATTTCTTCTCATAGCGTCCTAAATCCCTGAGTAGTTTGGCCTAGATCAAAATTTCAGACCTTTTAACTCCCCATGGGGCCGTCACAGGCCCGTAGGTCCTGAAATCCTGCTCTCCTGCTGCTTTCTGAATCCAGACCAGAGAACAAACAGGGAAGATGTGTCATTAGCGCTGCAAGACTTTGGATTAAACTTCTACAGGAGATTAGGGTTGTTAAGCCAATCTCTTCATTTTCAGTATATTTCATCTCAAGACAGACTCATAGTGGAATCTGTCCATGACCTTTCTCTTTTACCTTCCAGCATCATTATCAATATCGTTTCCATTTTAATTTTGCATTATACTAGTTTTAAATTCTGAAATGGGTTTTTATGATCTCTAAAATAGCATTGTCGTTACCTTTATTACAAGGTAGTTAAACTCAGACATTGGACTGGAACTCCTTCCATTGGCTAATCAGTCCCCCTGACAACCCTTTGAGTTGGTTCCAATCCTGAAACTAGTCCACCCTAAGAGAAATCAGAATCCCTCCAAACAAAGTTTTCTCAAAATAGACTTCAATTTCATTTCAAAGGGAACTGAACCCTTATACCAGCCATCACTTAGTGAGAGAGGATATCAATTTTTCATTTGAGAGCTGCCATATTTCCAATAAAACTCCTTAAATGAGATCTGTGTAGACGAGATGAGACAGACAAACCCCAGAGTGGTTTTCAGACACACTTAAATTGCCTGAAATTAAGAGAGAAAATGAAGACATGCAGATTCAGGTAGGCAAAATAAAGCAGAAACTCTAAATGCGTTTTCATGATGAGTGACTGGAGTAAAATGAAATTCAAACAGCTCTGACACAGCGACAGTGAGGGCTCCTTACCTTCACTACTGATACCCTGGCCTCGCAGGTTATACGTCCTTGTTAATTTATCAGCCCTTATTGGAGCGAAACAGTGTGATGAGTCACAAGACAGCGGACAATATTCAGTTTGAAACATTTAATATGCATCAGACTTTTTTCTCTTGATTCTGTGTTAAAATTATTCTCAAATAGGTGTACCAGTCTACAAAGGTTTCTAGTTTACCCTGTTGGGACTCTAATTTGCATACTCACTTGTTCATTAGTACATATCATCCTCTTGCCTGGCTACCGACCTCTACTCCAAAAAATTGGAATTTGAATGTAAAATGTTGGCAAAGACAGATCTTAATGGTTTGAAAAGGATATAAATCCTATAGTCTAATTCTGAACACAAAGAGGAACATCTTCATCTAGATGTGTTGATATGCAACAGGTTACCAACATGATGGGGTGAAAAACAGATTTCCGGACATGCTTAGAAGATGAAAGGGGAGAGGTTCACCACTCTGTGAGAGACTGTGTGACCAAATGGTTTCGTGATTTCAGAATAATGGTCCTCAGTGGAGAATTTGGGGGATTTCATGATCTGATTCAGCAATCTACCACCACTGGATGGTTGTGATTTTAGATTACAGACATTTGCTGCGACATTTGCCCCAGACAATTGCTGCGTTTACATGGGCACTTATAATCGGAATAAATGCCCGATCGGAATAAAAAGCCGTCATGTATACATGTCGATCGAAAGATTCTGATCCAATTCAGCTCAATCGGAAAGAAATTGTAATCCAATCGAGCCCCTCCAATAACATAACAAGGCGTACATACAGCGTATTGATGTCACATCTGCACGCAACCTTTGACAGAACAGTAAAATAAGTACGCAAGGGCGCCATCTAGTGACAACATTTAACAGGGGCAAAACTCCTGAATTGGATGGCGTGAGCTACTTGCGCATTTGTTGGATTGTTGACAGCACTGCATAAATACAACTCTTCTGCTGTTGTTTTAGCAAAATCAGACAACTCTGCACATGTCCAAATGCTCCTAATCTAAATAAAACTTGTATACGCACGTCATGATTGAATTATTTGATTTTGTGCCCATATAAACAGTGGATTCCGATTATCAGATCCCTCAAATCTTTAATTGGATCAAGAAATTTTCCCATGTAAACATGGCTACTGACTTTTTCAGGAAAATGCTATAAGACACAGAACCACTCTCTACACATATTAAAACAGTATAGCTCTGCAGTAGAAGAGACGAGGTGCTACTCTGGCCTGCAGTCCTGACTTGACCTCTGTTGAAAACTTTTGACAAATTATGAAACAAAAGTAGACAAAGGAGACCCTAGAGTGTTGAGCAGCAAAAATCCGATACCAGGCAAGAACTGGACAACTTTTCACTTTCAAAACCCCAGAACTGGTAAACATTAAATGAGTGTTGTCAAAAGAAGAGATGTTGCATGATGTTAAACATGTCCACATTTTTTGAAACTTGTTGCTGGATTACTTTAAAATAAGCTTTATTCTCAATGAGGCGATAAGTTTTGCCAGTTTTAACATTTGTAATGTGGTCTTAGCACATTTTTTTTGGTTAAAACTATGTTTCAATCCTTACAAATCCTGTTTTTTATCAACACATTACACAATGTCCCTACATTTCAGGGTAGTCGTTTTCTGTACTTGTCTGTCTTTGATCAGCAGTACATTAATCAGCCTAAATCACTAGAGGTCTTCTCCTGATTACACACATCTCTTTTTATTACACCGTCTCTGTCTGTTGTGTTTTTCAGTCTCATTAAATGAGAGCAGACCTGTTGTTTTTCTGACTCGGCATCCTGCTCCCAGACACTGTAATCAATCACTTCTGCTGCACTGAAGTCCTATTGGAAAACGATTCATAACCATTTGAAAACACATCCTCTCCTTTAATATCACCCTTCGGTATCTTTTAAAATAAAGAGGAATCCAGTTTGAGATAAGGTTATCATGTTGACACTGATTTATGGCTTTAAAGGCTGGCAATGGTGGGAGGACAAATTACTCGGTGCCTGCTTGCACTGGCTTGGAGTTGATTTCTCCTTTTGTTTCACAGAGTTCTCTCTCAATAATGAAATATTTTAAATCAAAATGTTACGTTGAATCTCCATTATTGTCGCAAAACTCTTTTAGCAGAGAGATTGTGGAGGAAAGGCTACAGCTGCAAAGACAGAAAAAAGGATAACTGCTCAGACTTAAGCCATCATGCAGCTGCAGGACTGCAGATTGTGATTTTGGTGGCCTGGAAGTACATCTTATAAAAAGGGAAACTTTGATGTTGCAAAGAGAGGTCGTTATGCACTGAACGACATTATGAATTTCACAATTTTAGCATCAAAGCTGCATCAAGTGTACGTAGGAGACTCAAATCTTGTGTTTAACAACAACAGCTAAAGAATTTAGCTGTTCTTCTCTTCTTTTCAAACCATCCATGGTCATTTTTGATCTTTAGCCTCTATATTCTGCACCAATCAGGTCTGGCAATAGGAGCTGCTAAAAGTTCCTGGGCTCAGGACAAAGGGGGATGATGACTGTAAGCTCCAGCAGTGTGAAAGTAGGTCAGAGGCATTCAGCTGAGTCAGCGCCTCAGTTTATAAAGCTTTTAAAGACCCACCTGTGCTGACTGGCATTGTTTCAATTCATTACCGCAGCAGTTTTATGCTGTTTGTAGCTCCTGTTTTCAAATTCTTTATGTTGGGCTATTCCCAATAGTGGCACAGCTGTATTTTATGCTACTTTCAGCTTCACCGAATTACTGATTCATTCATACATTCATATGCCAAGCTGCAGCGGTTTACATGGCACCATGAGCTTATACAGCCCAATATCTACGTGCATAAAATAAAAATGATAAAGACAACTTTATCTACTTTTGCAGGCAAAATACAGAACTTTGTCTTGTACTTGCGTGTATAAATAAAGGCCACAAAAACACAAGGTAGCACACTACGCGAGAAGGAAAGTGTTTAACCAATAAACACACTTGAAAACACGATATACTCCAAACAAAAACACACCTGATATAGCTGTCTTAAAGGGAAGAGGAAGGTTATTTAAGTGATTATCTAAAAGCTGTTTGCATCATCAAGAGGCAGATTGACTTTCAAGAACATAGCAAATTCTTCTTTAGTGAACCGGACTCAACTCAAACTCAACAACTGACTTGTCATGAACTCCAGGTTTGATGACTCGAGTACATCACAAGCAGCCGCCATTGTCTCTCTTCATAATGTGTCTCTGGAAACTTAATGAGTGACGCCACTGAGACAATGTCCTATTTTTAACCCTATCCGCGTCCGCTCTGAAAACTGAGCTCCTCTTTTAGCTCCATCAGCAGCCTGAATGTGAACTTAAGACTCTACACAAACAAGCTTCACTTTAACAACTGCTCCTGTTTCCAGTGGGAGCTGGTTAGGCTCCACTTAGAGCCCAGTAAGTATATTACTGCCATGACTGTGGCCTAACCTCTGTCTATAATCAGGTTACTCTGTGTTCAGCCTGAAAGACCTGCAGTCTTTCAGCTTTTGTTGATCACTGTATGAGCACACAAGGTTATTCTGAAGGGCTTTGTGGTCTTAAAAGCATAATTAAACTCATTTTAACACAATTTCTGCACTTTATGAAATCTCACAGTGCAAAATAACAACAGCAGAATGGCCTTTGTCAGAGCATCAATACTTTTGTTGACCGAGTCTTCAAGCGCTGCAGGGATTTGCCTCATTTGTTACATAACTCAGTCTGGAAACCAAAAGCTGTGATGAATTATTGACACCAGACTAATTTTAACAATTCAACATGAATAATTCACGACTCCACACACTGAGTTCTGTAACAGAGTTCATGTTTGCAGAGCCGCTTTCAGGTGACCTTCGATGTACAGTGTGTGAGTGAGAGAGATTGTGAGTGTCCTATCTTGACAATGATCGAGGTTGGTGCTGTTCCCTTGCAGTCCAGAGATAAAGTGTTTCTCAGTGAGTGATGTCAGGCAGTGAAACAACATTAGGTTTAGGGAGACATGATGCTGTGGTAGGTCACTGTGTCAGCAGAGTGTATTTCTGTCTTTGTTCTAGTTTGAAAGTCTAGACATTTGTTTTTAGATCTCAAAACTAAACTTTTTACTTCTTTTTCAATGTGTTTTGGTTTTCATCCACTCTTCAGAGTAGAAGCAACATAATGTCAGTGATTACGATCGCAGTTGTCAGGTATGTCTTTGACAAATGATTACTTTTACTTTTTTAAGAAAAATGTGAAAAATTGTGAATTGTGCGCAATACCTAGGGTGACCATATTCTGACTTCCCAAAAAAAAGGACACGACTACGCAAGGGTCACGGAGTTGCACAACATTAATTTTGAGAGTTTTTCAGGTCGATCGAGTGTCTTCTACGTGCTTCCAACTCAGTAAGTCGACGTGACACAAACTCAAAACTTCCGTACAAAACCACAGACATTTGAAGGATTTTATAAACTGTCCCGGACAAGCCCGGACAGCCCCCCAAAAAAGAGGACATGTCCGGGTAAAAGAGGATGTATGGTCACCCTATCGATGCCATGTTCAATATCATCATTATGTGAAAGTCCTTAAAGGTACAGTTTGCTCAAATGGGAGTCAATGGCAATATCCAGAAGTCAGAATGATTGAAATGCTCACTTACTCGCCCCTCTAGTGGTAAACTTCAAGGTAAAGAAGCTCTTGTGATGCATGACAGATACAGGGGTGAGTCAAACTATACATTTAATGACTCTCTGGGGACTTGTAGCTCGAGTTGAACTTTTACATCAATGACTCATCTTGTCATCTGGACTCTAGTTTCATGACTTGTTAGTAATTGAGATTAAAAAGTATGTTTTTCAATCAATCAATCAATCAATCAATCAATCAATCAATCAATTTTCATACACTGACTGTATCACAAAGTGCTGTACAGGGGATACCAAATAAAATACAAGATGAAATACAAATTGCAATACCCCACCCACCCACCCTCTAAGCCCGCATTTAACAGAGACCCCACCACCTACCCACCCACCCACACACACACACACACACACACACACACACACACACACACACACACACACACACACACACACACAGCAGGAAGCCCCAGTGGACCAAGGAAACGCTATCTTAAACTAATTTAGTTTTTAATTTAAAAAGTGCTATAAATCACTATATTTGCCTTCAGCCACTTTAGAAACTGACACTAATGCTATTCATTCATTGCTAGTCAAAGGATTTTCTTTAACCACAATCCACCTTGTTTGAAGCATTTGTAAACATCCAGTCAAGTTTTGAAACAAACCATAAAAAATAGGTGGGTTATATGTTGTGGGTTACCTAGCATGCTAATTCAGCTAAAACACATTTTAGAGTATTTTTTCTTCCTCATTTTTTAATGATCCAAATACCCATTTAGAAATATATTTGAAATATAGACAAGAATTACTGTTTATTGGTTGTTTTATTCTTACAGGACTGAGTCACCGATGGGAGAGTGAAAAAGTAAATTGGATAGAAATGAAGTCAGGCGTTACATCACTTCCCTAATGACCAGACATGTGAGTCTGCTCTTTGTTGATGTAAAGCGATACTCCACAGTTAGTGATATAGGCAGGTATGTGCATGCGTGTTTGTGTGTATGTGTGTGTTTGATGGCACAGCTCCCAAGGCAGTGAATTCACTAATCGAAGAAAGTGAGAGAAGGAAATGGAAAATCAATGATAAAGACAGGTTTTGAACCCCTCCATCATCTTTAACCTACACCTGGAAGTCTGAAGTTTGTTAAGTTTTTTTTTTGTCTTTTCCAAGTAATGACCTCCGTTTTGCAGATGTAACTGAATGAAGGTCCATTAATCACTCATTCCCAATTTGCTGTAGCAGAACAATCAGCGTGTTTGATTAAGCGGAGTCACCGGCACTGACATTGCTGATATAACTTGCTCTGTGATGGCTTTTAATGGAATGGGTCCCAGTTCATCAAACATTCATTTGAAGGGAGTCAATCTGAAACTGCTTAAGACATTTCCATGATAATGCAGAATCCGTCGGGAGCCTCTCAGCTGTGAGTTGCTGGGGTAAAGACATTTTTGAGAATGCTGATTATGAATGGAGGGAAATTTAACGCCACAGACATGGTGTGATAAACAGTACTGGATTGATAGCAGGTGAAAATGCAGCTCTCTACTGCCATCTAGTGGTTTGGAGTGAGCGGCTATAAGTTGTGAAGGGTGCAGTTTCACACAAAAGTTTTTGTCATAAATAATGTGGAAAAAGGAGGAAATACTAAAAGAGTAACCTTATACTGGCAAACAAAGAGTTATGTTTCTTACAACATAAAAAGAGCTGCACTTCAAATGAGGTGCTTGGAAAGAAATGCATACATTTGATAAAAATATCAATAGTTTGATCCCCACATGGGACAAATTTTGTGAACTTAAATTAGGAGGTGGCTAGGGGCTTCATTGTTTTTTTCATTTTCCCTTCACTATCAGTACTAATTGATTTCAATTTTACATCCTACGTAGATTTTTTTCAAAATATGCTTTTGTGGGAAATTACCTTAAATCACTAACTGTGCAATGGTTGCAGAGGATATGTTTACATTCAGAACAATATTTTACAGTTTCATAGAGGTCAGAGAAATGGCAAAACTGGTTTAAATAAAGATGAGAGTGTTTATTTTGATTGTACAGGCTTATGAGTTTAGTCGGTGAAACTCAAATGAAGTTACAGTAAGTTGAAATAAAAAAAAAAACACAGTGTTTAAAATCTTGGACCACAGAAACTATCAGTGTTGACTTGTGTCAAATATTTGCGAAGGTCTGGTGTGGTTACATGGCCTCTGGAGAGAATCAACTTTTATTCAAAGAGGAGGTAGACTGTCCTCTCCAGTTCAGTGTTTAAAGTATCCTTATCGAATCAAGTCATAGCTAGAATTTTTTTCACGTGAGCACCTTTTAATTAGTCATCTATTCAAAGAGATTGCACCATAAATAAAGTCACAGTCACAGAAATGTCATATTTTTCATTATTTGACCATTTTCAATTGAGCATCATTAATAAGTGAGTGGTTATCAAATACAGATAAAAATTAAGCAACTGTACAAAAAAAATCTTGTTAAAACAATGATCACCAGGTTAAAACTACTTGTTACTTGGCATTGGTGATTTTCAAAATAAAATTAGTATTGTAACAGAAGCGTAAATGAAAAGATGGGATTAGTTGGTTCAAAAAGAGACAATCATCAGTGAGGATTAATAAGAAATGTTGTTCAGAAGTTTCAGCATCATGAATTTTCTTGAGGTATGATAATTCTCTGTTATTTAATAAAACTAAAACAAAAATGTACACTAAAACAGCTCAGACGTTGTCTGACATCCAGTGTTCTGCATTAGGAAAACTAAGAGATTTTTAGCACTTTCGACATTCAGTGAGGTGAAGAAAAGTTAAATAACTAAAGACAACAAGTGTCTCAAAAGCTGTACTATTTGAGTTATTTGAAGGCACATATCAACCATATTTTAGGGCATTATTTAGCCTAATGGTTAGAAACACCCACCATGCAGAGGCTGTGGTTGTTAAAGTGGTGGTCTCAGTCATGGCCTTTTGCCTTGTCTTCAGTTATCCCAACGCAAAAAAGCTCATTTTACACTGGGTGCGCATGATGGATGTGGTCTCTGCAGGCAGTGTTTTAAAGCCCAACAATGGTGGTCATAATATTTGAAATCACTTTTGGTCAGCCAGAAAACAAAGAGGTGAAGCTGAGACAGACTTACAACACCCCCGCCTGAACTGCAGCCTTTTTTTTGCACCTGTAGGTTGACTCTATGAGCTGTGTTTTCTGCAAGCAGCTACCTCTGGCATTGAAAAATAGTTATGCTAAGAAACACGCCCTGTTTTATGTGTAATTAAACATCCAGTTGCAATGCAGAAGACTGGAAACTGAAAAAAATGATTACTGAGGTAATAAATTGAGCCAAAAAAGGTATTTTTCTTCTATGGCTCCACACCATTAGACCTTTTTTACAACTTGTAGAGTAGCTCCCTTACAGCATGTGAAACAAATCAGGTTTAAGGCACTTAAGATTTGCTTAACTTTTAAGTACTGGAGGTTATAGCTTCTTCTCTTATTCAGGCTATGGTTTGGGTGCAGACAGTAAACAGGGTTCTTACTGTGTAGCTCTTGATTCAGTGATTGTCTGGATACAACAGGACCTTTAGTTTCAGACAGAGCTGGTGTGAGACAGACTGATACTCTTTTTCAGCCTCTGTGTCTTACACCAAAAACCTTCATTCTTCCCTTCTGCTCTAACCTTTCTGTTGCTGCTCTCTGTTATGAACTTGCATCATCCTGGCAGGTCTCGCCTGAGTGTCACCTCACAGCTCCACCGTCCGCAGGTGACCGCGAGGGGAAACTGCTGCCAACACGCTCTGAGGCAAACATTCAGACTGTTCCACGGTGCTGCCGCAACATGACCAGTGGGGCTTCCCTGGGTGTCCTTTGTGACCGTGACCACAGCCTTTGAATCCTCCTGTAGACAGACAGATAGACAGACAGGACATCAGGGGAGACTCTAGCCTCGTGTTTCTTTGTTTTATTCTATATTCTCTAAATTGTTCCTCCATCTTTTCTCCTTCATGAACCCTTTAAAGACAAAGTCTACCACATTTGTTGTGTTAGTTCACTGTGATAACTGAGTGAAAACTGTGCGTCTCAGTGGACATTAATGAGATTTCTTTCGTGTACCTGGCATGGTTCCTGCACAGCCACAGCGAGCCTCTTTGGCCCCTCCGCTGGAGCAGAAGGAGCAGCAGTGAAACGTCCCGCTGTGTCGCCTCAGCTTCCTCTTTACAGTCAGAGTGAACGGAGAGCCCTGCAGTCAGAAACAAGGCAAAATGTAATAAAAAAAGACAAGCGATAACTCAGGATGTCAGTCTTTTACTTAAAAAGTATCCCACTAGGTGAGCTCAACATCAGAGCTGTCAAAGGGATCCTGTTAAATTTGTTTTTGCCTGGAGAAAATTTGAACCGCTTTCACTTCATCAGGATGATGATAACAGCCCTGAGGGCATACGCTGTGAGCTGCTTGTAATGCCACAGCTCATTCAAACCAATCACTGCTCATACCAGCAGCAGATTCTGATAGTAACTAACTTTAAGATAAGAGAAAGTTTTTAAAAATCCAATAAATTCCCCATATTCCTTAATTTAGTGGTTGTTTTTCTACCTTGACGTGCTGGGCTTTGACACAAACCCACACCGAGAAGACTCCAGGCTCTTCGGGCGTGTATGAGACCCGGTATGATCCATCATCATTGTCAACCACCGTCGTCTCCACCGTGCTGAGGGAAACAAATCGCACTGTTGACGTTTCACAGCAAATACACATCTGATCATGACTAATGCAGAAATGAAGATGAGGAGCATTGATTTTCAGCTTTTTTGCAAAGTCAAGAGAAAACCAACTATCGCATAAGAAAATCTCTTAATCAACGCAATAATCCAATCAAGATATTGCTAAAATGATTTAATGTCATTATTTAATCCATCCTTATGTATGGAAGTGCAGCATCAAGCCAGATCCTGAGTGGCAAACATCTTTGGACAGAACCCCAACTGAAAAACTACATCTGCAGCTCTGTCAGGAAATCCTCCTGACAGAGCTGCATTCCAGGTTTTGCATTAACCGTGCAAAACCTGGAATGCAGGGCAGAGCCTAGAGGATTCCTACTACTTCTCTCCACATGATCAAAAGTGTCATCAGACTCCAGGTGGACTCGGCATAAGCTGATTCCGGATCCTACCATGAGACTGATCCTCTGAAATACTTCACAGACACTCCAGAGAGAAACTAATAACTGTTAACTATACACCCAGATGCAAAGTTTGTATCTGATTGCCAGCTTATTACACGAGGAGTTAGTTATATAGATAAATGTAAATATATATTTTGTTACCTCTATTGTAACTGACTTGACTCAGTACCATCAAATACTGATGGGTTTTGAAAGCACCTATCAGTGTTTGACCTGACTTTTCCTTTTCACACACTGCTGGCATGGCCACTTGCTCAAGGGCCTAGAATCAAGCCGACAATGTCCTCTGTAGGAACAAGGAGGTACCGCACATAACTTTTCAAAGGGATTTCATAAAGATCCTTGAAAGTTAAAACTGTCACACACTCACCTGTTCTTCTTCTCTCTGTGTACAATGCTGACCAGAACATTCTCTCCACCCTGGGCCACCTGCTCCCCCGCTGAGTCTCTGCACACCAGGGTGAAGTGACCCGGCTGCCCCTCCCTGCCCCTCTGTACACCTGTGAAAAAGAGGTTAAAGGTTAGACACCAAGGCTGCACGATATATCGTTTGAGCATCGTCATCGCGATGTATGTGTACGCGACAGTGACATTGCAGAGCCTTTCAAGAGTAGCTGACTGAGATACACTGCATGTGACTCTGCATGTGCTGTGCAGCGATCCACCAATCACATTCGTTCTTTACTCAGTTGCCAATCAGACAACACTGCCAGTTGTCAATCAAAATCAGAGAGGAGGAAACCACGCCCATGCAAATGGCCTGCACATGGAGCTAATTGCAGGCGCTACCGGTGTACGCCTAGAAACGCGTGTCCGCTGAGAATTACTTTGGGAACATCCCTCATCACTGTTTAGCCCCACAAATAAGAATTGTATGGGTTTTAAATTGTACATTTCACTCTACTTTAAGTGGTGCGCGTTTCTGAGAGTTGCATGCAATCCTCGGCGGGCATGTGTTTCTCGTTACCGGGAACAACAACAGAAACAAGAGAAAACCGCTAAAATGAAGACTTGCCGGCAAAAAGAAAAGCAACGTCATTTACCGCCGAAGATTAATACTTGTCGGCAAAAAGAAAAGCAACGTCACTTACTCGTAATTATCTCGGTTACAGAAAGAAGTACATCACAAAACACCTTTTCTGTTTTGGCAGTGCCTTTATCTGTTGCAACAATAACGTTCCAACACGTCTAAGACAGACAGAAGATGCTCTACTAACATTTACAAAAAGAGGTACGATCAGTGCCGGGTAACTGTCCTCAAGATTTTAGCAGTGCAGCATAACATTAGGTGAAAATTCCTCTATTTTTTTTTAATATCGCAATGTATATCGCAGGTTTGAAAAAACTGTAATGTTAGTGTTTTCTATGCAGAACATTTATTTCATGAACTCATGACCCTGACTTTTAAACATCCACACTTCTAGTGCAGCTGTGGATGTGTGAGCATTTATGGACAAATTTTAGCGCAGAAAGTAGAGGACGATACTTGTTTGTTTGAAACCCAACTGCAAATTTCAAGTTTGACATTTCTAAGGCACACTTATTAGTTCTTCTGCCATCACTTAAACCTTTCTTCTGCTCAAATAAGTACTATTATTTCAACCAATTATAAGTGTCACTGCTGTCCTAAAAGGTGTGAATTATCTGTGAGTTTCTGTTGGTGATTTCTAACCAGAGCAGAGCAGCAGCTGTTTCCAATACAGGTGCAGCTGTTACTGCCCACTTTTCACCTGTGCTGTGCAGCCATGTGGTCCAAAAGACACCATTCTAACCCTTTTAACCACACACACTTACGTAGTGAAACAGAGGATAATCTTTGATGAACGTTGATGCACAAATCTTAACTCTATCAGCTGCCTGTGCTGAGCTGTTGTGCTTATGACAGAGACAAACAACTTAAAGGTGGAATAAGCAGGATTTAGCTCTTGCAGGAATACTTCGGATTTACACATCACAATCTTACTTTAAAAAAGAAGCTTTAAACCTTGGCAGCCACTAAAGTAAACACAGGAGTGAAGTGCAAATGAATGGAAAGTTCACTCCTCAGCAGAGAGATTTGTCTGACCCTTAAGGAATACAATGTACACAGTATAAAAACAGACTCAAGCAAACCCCCAAACAAACACTTAACACAATGCCAGGACTTTACTTCTTGCAAACATGACAACAATAGACTTCCCAAAGCTCTTATTTACCGTGGCTTTTCATTTCCTGCACAGGTAAACACAACTTAAAGCTGTCTTTCACACACAGAAGCTGCGACAAAGCTGTCAAGCTTTGTGTCTTTGTGTATGTTAAAAGAAAGCGATTTACTGAGGGACAACAGAGGATATATTAACAAGATAAAATTCACTGTACAACTTCTATTGGCTTCTTTATTTTAAAGCTTATCTATTTGCACTGGCAAATTAAAGGAGCAGCACTGACAGGAGCACATAGTGTGCAAACTATGTAAATAAGGATAGAAACAGCATTTTTCTGTAAGTGGTACTCTGCAAAAACAGTTATTCTAAGTTAGATTAACTGTTTTTAAAGATAATCTTATCTTTTTTGTCATAATTTCATTCAAAAGAGTATCAGGCTCAATTTAAGCCACATTCACCTATTTGCAACTTTATCCACAGATTGTTCACCCCAGAAAAAGTACACCTTTTCAAAAATAATACAATATCCTTTTGTAATTGGTGTAAAACTAAGACTAGAACATTTATACATATGACCTGGTTGTGCCTGAAGTTTAAATGCCGGTAGATTGCTCAACAAAATACAGTAAAGACAGTACTATATACTTCCTGTGCAGTTGTGCTGTTGCAATCTTGTTCTGCAAGTATTTTTAATTTTAAACAAGGTCAAATAATAAAATAAAATCAAAATGAAGGAAAAAGCACAAAGACCTTTAATTAGTAGATTCTAAGACAAACAAATAAATGAATAAAGAATCAGATGTATAAGGGAGGTGGTGCTGTGTAGTTTTAGGTACAGTGGTTTTCCAGGAGATTGTGATACTTTAAGAAGCCTCTGTGAAAAATAAGACGTTGTTCTGGACTTTTCAAGTCAATGTGGCAATAAGACAGAAAATCTTACCTACATTTGAGTGTTTTGCATTGAAGAGTTTGTTATCATTTGTGGTGTTTATCAGAATAGACTTTTTCATGGGTTTGTCAAGACTGTTTGTTTATGTTTACTGGGAATGAGTATTTCATAGCTGCATAGAAGCAGACCACCATTCACAAAGGCCCCCATCTTGTTCTGCCATGTCTCTACCATAGAGTTTGGACAGACTGGTAATAAATGCGTTTTTGCATATTGTTAGTGGCTGCACAAAATGCACATCAACTCCCGGGTAGTTGTTGTGGGCAAAAAATTTTGCTCTACTAGATGTTTGTGATGGTTAAAACTAGGCAAAGGGAGGATCATTATTATGCAACACAGGAGGTTTTTGTCCTCCAAGGCCATTGTATCTTTGCCAACAGATGGAGTGAGCAAAGAAGTGTTTCTATTCAGAATCTGACCACTAGATGACACTAAGTGATTCCCATTTCCTACCGTTATTTAACCCTGAAGCTTCAACTACATCTCTGTTGTTGTCTGTCCTGTAGTCACATACAGTTCTCCATAGTGTATGTGTGTGAGAGAGAGTGTGCATGGTGTATTTCGGTGTAAACACCCCCTCTGTGCACTACCCTCAGGCCTGCTCAGTCACATCAACATTCCTTCAGTCTCGCAGGAATTTGTGCCTTTGAACTGAAGCAGGAAGGTAACAATAGTCTTTAACTGCTCAGGGAGGTTTGTTTACACCATCCTCACACCCTCCCCCTGAATCCTCACCCGACTCCCCCCCTCATGCCCATCAGCCTGCCATGGGGGCTCTCAAGAAATAGCAGAGGTGTCCTTGATGAGCTACATATTTTTGGTGACAAAAACATCCAAAAGTCTTTAAATAGAAAAATAGCCAATAAGATGACACAGCTTATAAAATTATGAATACTATCATTCCATGATATCATTCAAATATACAGTAAACATGGCTCTTTAGCTCCTGTCTTTTTCTGCTTTACGTTTCTTCTGCAATCCTTGCTCTAAGTTTATTTAATATTACCAGAAAGAAAAAAAATCCTTCAACGCTTTCCCTGAAAATGTTTGCAGGTACGCGATTTTCAATTAAATTGTTTGCCCTGACACCACAAACAGCCAATTGCAAACATTATCTTGACATGACTCCAACTTATTACTCACAAAGATAAAACATTTTTGCATTTTAAGTGTTTACCTTCACCCTCGATGGTGCATTTGCTGAGGTCCACTGTCTTAGAGTTTATGACACCCACCACTGGGTAACCCTCCACCTCCCCCGCTGGCTCCCTGGGCAAAAAGCTGATGCCACTGCCGTCATCGGGGGCTACGGCAGATGGGTGGGGGTCGTAGCCGCTCTCTGCCAGGCTGGTCAGTCTTCTCAGGGTGACTCCTTTGGCACTGAGGATCTCAGCATCTGAACCGCAGCTCAGCAGCCTCTCTGTGAACTCCACACCACCGCTGATGTCCAGTAGGGCTTGCTGCAGCTGTGCCCTCTGCAGGTGGAGTTGGTTTCTGTAAATTTGAAACAGAATTTTGCATTAGCTGATTGACAGTTTCTCTGCATAGTAAATCATGCTGGCCTAAGAGGAAATATACTTGTGTTACCTTTGTCTTGAAATGTTTTGTAATATGATCTCTTTTTACTCCTTCTCATCCCACAAACATATTGATGGCATAATTTGATCTGCCCCACAGGAACTGTGTCGTTGGTTTCGTCATACCTGCGTTGGACACGGAGCTCTTCCAGGCGACGCAGCAGAGACAGACAGTGCGACTCCACGGCGCTGGCATAGGCTCGTGCAAACGCCCTCACTTCATTGGCTGTTGTGTCCACCCGTGCCTGCAAAATCTCCTGGGAAATGTCCACCTTTAACAGAGAGGACAGGAAGGGGACTTTTTATCAACAACTAGAAAAGGAAGGTCTTCACTCAGGAAAGTCTCTAACTCTAGGCTATGACAGTGTAGTATTTTAATTGTAGTCCCATTTTTGGAAGCATCAGGTAGTGTGTGTTAGTAAAGCAGAGGGACAGAGTGAGCAAGGAGAAAGAATTACACAATCGGTCTAAAACATCTCTGTGGCACCTTCTGCAGGGACTCCTTTAGACGTTCCAGGCGAGGTCGCAGCCGCACGGTTACCAGCTCTCGGATCCGATCCCCATGACGATCAATGACATCACTGGTGGAGCAGCAGCGGTGGTCACGGTGCAACGTGGCCGCACACTCCAGGCAAACAGGCAGGTCACAGGGCTGACAGAAGAGCCGGAGCGCCTGACTAGGGTGGAGGGAACAAAGTACAGGGCGACAGAGACGACCCCTAGACTTCAATTCCTCAAGACGTTGAATAGAGTGAGATGATGTTCGCTTCTGACGTCTGTAGGAAAATAATAGTAATAGTAGTAAGTGACTTAAGTAAGTGAACACCTATGGTGTCTGTGTTGATAGATAGTCTAAAGTTTTGGATAGAGTTGAACCAATTTTAAATCCATCTATTTCTTTCTAAGCATCATCAGATTTCAGTTTGTAGTCTATGTGATCAAAGCATACCCTTAGCAACAGTATGTTCTTCATAGCAACAGGTGCTATCACGAAATATCAAACCTGATTAGAATAAAGCTTTTAACACAGGATAGCAAAAATACAATTAACCAGAATCTTGGTATGCATCTTGAAAAAATAGAAAAACAAGAACAGGAATATTAGACTGCATTTTGCTTATTTTTTTAGCAGGAAAGAGGACTGAAACTAGGGCTGGGCGATAAAGCGATAACAATATATATCCAAAAATTATTTTCCTCGATATCAATACAAAATATGGGCAATATCCTTTTCGATAGTCGGCATTCTGCCATGTTTTGGTAGACTATCGGGATAGCCAATGAAAAGGGGAGTCGCTCTGGGTCAGCATCACGCTGAACCAATCGTGCTGAATTAGAACCAAGTAGCAAACAACTGCGTAGTAGCAGGCTGCAGCTACATGCAACCATAGCACTTAAACGCATGAAGCCGACAGCACTGTTGAGAAAAAAGGAAAATGAGTGCTACCCCGGCAGAAATGCAGATGAAGGCTCGACAGATAATGACATTGTCAACAACACTGGCATGAAAATGCCAGTGGTGTGGAGGTATTTTTGGTTTTATAAGGTCCGACATGAAGCAGAGTAATGTCGGGGAATACCTTGAATCTTTTTCACCACCTGAAGCAGTGCCACGTGCCAGAACACGTGCAATGCAAAAGCTGACAGCTGACGAACCCCGAGCGGAGTAAGGAGCCCATGGTGCCTGTGCAGCCAAATTCAGTCTGCTTTCTCTAGCGCATCGCCTTACGAAAAAACATCAAAGAGCTACAAGGGCCTCACAGATGCAGTAACTTATTGTATTACAAAAGACATGCTACCAATAAGCACTGTTAAATTTCATTTTATCTTGATATGTATTGATATCGACTGATATGAAAAAAATATATTGTGATAAACTTTTTCCCATATCGCCCAGCCCTAACTAAATCAGCACTTACTTCAACAACTTCCTTTATTTGAATGTTATTGAATTTCAATAATATGCACCCTGTAAAAATTTTGAACTTTTCTGGAACTCTGAAAGATATCGAATAGTAATCGAATCGAATCAATAGAATAGAATCTACCTGTGTGCCTGGCAGCAGAACTCGCACAGGTTGACGCTGCAGACCTCACAGCGGCTCTCGGCGCCCCCTTCCCCGCACAAATCGCATCCCAGCGGGCCGTCTGTCACTAAGGTCTCCAGAAAAACTTCATCCAGAGCCAGGTGGTCCGTGCTCAGCCCCTGTAGTCCGGATGGAGGGAGGTCCACCTCGGAATCGCAGTCCGGGCAGAGAACCGTGACTGTAACGCCTCGGTCTTCCTTCACTCCCTCTCTTGTCCTGCCCTCCGTAGAGTCTCTGGGTGAGGACACCGAGAAAGGCTCCAGCTGGCCGATACAGTCCGAGCAGAAGGTGTGCAGACACGGGAGGATTTTAGGGTCCCGGTACAGGCGTTTACACACGTTACAAACCGCTTTAGGATTCACCACATTTCCGTTTTGTTCGTTTTTCGAGTCTAACGCCAGCTCCTCTCTGTTTTCTGAATTTTCTGACAGCGACATTTTATGTTTTTGGTGTTTTTTCTTTCAAAAACGAGCCAGTGAGTAGCACCATTACACCCACCGAACTCCACAAACCTAGACTAAAATTCAAAGAAAACTTATTTTCAACCTCATTTCTACGTCGAAACCTCTAAAATAAAACGTACCCACCAAACTTTAACATAGTGACAACGAAAACTTTGTAAATGCCCAAATAAGAAAATCTTCAGGAGGTAAAGTTCCACTTTTTCTCCTAGAAAAGTATGTGCTGCGTTCAAAGCCCTGTGGGACATATGACACCCCACTCACTACCAGACCAATAGGAAGCTTGTAGCTGACTTTTGGGGGTGGTCCAAAGGCTTGGCAGGACTCTTTAGTACCAGTCTGGGATTTGACTGTCCCCATCTACTGGTAGGAGACAAAAACAGGGTATTGGCAAGATGCAAGAACATTTTTTAAGTGGCAGTCAGGGGGGCAAACCAGTTTATTTTCTGCATTCTGGTTTACAAGAAATATAGCTATTGTAGTTGTGAAGATAAACTCTAATTTTCTTGAAAGTATTGCATTCACATTTTGTTTTATTCCCCTAAAAATGAAGAATGTGTCACACAGTTGCAATTATTACTTGCAGTGTATATGTTTTTATTTCTTTTTAATAAGTATTTCAATGCATTTTCTTGTCTGCACAACTATTAAGTCAGAGATACAAAGACGAATTTAGTAGTTTTTGTTTGTTTGTTTTAATGTGTCTGAGTCACTGATATGCTTAACTTAAGTATAATCTAAAAATGTATCACATGTGCATTTTCCATTTTTGTGTATTGGTTTTTCTATATGCAGACATAAAAGACGGAAAAACAGTAATTAATTTCCTAGAAAGCAATCTAGATGGAACCATTACATTTCGGGTGACACAAACATCAACACCTGAGGAAGTGCAAAGAAGAGGCTAAAGTTGACAAAGACATTATAAATACAGAATAAAATGTTTCTACATGGAAAAAGCCCCTTACTTTCCATGCATGTAAAATACATTCTTGATTCTTAATCATTTCTACTACTTACGTGAAATGTTAATTCATACACACAGAGTTTTGTATATCTAAGTTAGGTTACAAACGTAGAGAATCATGGTGAGAGTGCTCAGGTGAATGGATGCCAACAGGGATGATGCAGTGTTGAAGGTTATGTATGTCCTTTCAAAAATCTCAGTCTCTGTCAAAAGCACAAGGATATGAAATTTACTGATGTTAAACAGCACAGCCTTACCACATAAAGTAGTCCCCTCCTTATCTGGGATCATACTGGAAGTGAGTTCCATGAAAATTAACAAAAAACATTTTTTTTTAAATTCTTTATTCTCCTCGTAATAACATAGGTTAGGTTTTAAAACCCTACCTGATACAGTTGCCTTTGAGACAGCGCTCACCAGCTCATTTTCAATCCTGCAGACGTAGGTGTCACTGATGTTGATTGGCTGCAGACTGCTAGCCACTCTGTAAATCCCTGCAGAGTTTTGTACAAAGCTCGAACTTCCTTTTAGAGTGTTCCCAGCTTCGTCCGACCATGTGACATTCGGTTTAGGGAACCACCTGTTAGCCACAGCGAACAGAATGCCCTTTATGACCGTGAACTTGGGGGCACTGAAGGCTGAGAAAACAGAAGTGGCAAGTATGAGTCATAAAGTCATGGCATAATGGTTCAAAGATAGCTCTTAACTTATTTGTAAAGGTCCAATAAATGAAATGTAATGTAATAAAACAGTGAAATAAATTGGTGAAGACCATAGACTGTATATAGAATGGACGCCGTCTGCCTCCTCGCTGGGTGAAGCCACCCCAAGAACAGCACCTCCTGGTGACAGGCTGCAGTATAGGTCATAAATCCCGCCTCCGCCACCCATTCTTATGGGGCTGTGAAGAAACTTTAGAAATTTATTACACAGAATATAATTTTTTCTTCCCCCCGCTTGTGATGTTGACATATAGTTATTGTGAGACTGGTTTGTGCTCAAGTCCTCTGTTTTCTGTACAGCTCCATTTTTAAAAGTTATTAGGGGGTTCATGTTTTCTATGATTGACACTTGATACAGCCTACGGGCGTACAAGGATTATGTAGCTCACCCGAGGGATATGCTGTTTGAGCCAAGCGCCATCGCAGTGACTTTCGGCGACTCTCCCGCCGAATGTGTACAACGCTACAGCGCAATGTTGGTTTCAGGAAATGGAGAAAAATACCGAGAGCAATACCGAGAGCTTTTCGGCTTCAAATCTGTTTACTGGCAGAAGGCAGAACCACCTTGTCCATAATATATACAGTCTATGGTAAAGACTGAGTGTCACAACAGCACCTGAGAAATGTTCTCCAAACCACTGACATTATTATTTCCAATTATCCATACCTGGATGTGTTACATACTTGATTGTGATTGGTTAAACCCCCTTGACAATAGTAAGATCAATCCTCCCACCTGCTGTTCTGAGATTGATGTCAACCGTCCCTTTGCCTTCAGAGGAGCTGATCTTGCAGGTGTACTCTCCCGCGTCTCTTTTTTTCACATCCCTCAGCAGCAGTGATGCATTCCCTTTGCCCAAAGCCTCTGGAAACACCTGAGTCCTCCCTTTGAACTGGGGGTCCTGGTCTAGAAGATCATCAGCCCCATCGTGATAATGATGAACAAGCCCTTTCAGATCCTTCTTCTCCCAGGTGACCGACACCTCTCTCAGTTTGGCCAGTTCAAGTTTGACGTTCAAGTAGCAGCTGAGGATGATGTCGTCACTGAGGTTAGCTATGGGTAACGTATTGGTGCTTGACACCTCAGAGGAGGAGCCTGTAGGATGAAGACACTTGACTTAAAACACTTTACAGGCCAGCTGAATAGCTCTTTATTATGTGGTGAAGAACATAAGCCTCATGAACTCATGATATGTTTCAGATCATATCAGGAGTTTATGGCTCTAATATTCTTAGGAACATGCCATTTTTTTGTCCTTGTCCAAAGTTCCCAGAAACCTCTATTGAACAGTTTCTTGGCATGGTCCCTTGTTTAATTTCATGTATAATTACACATGCTAACACACAAAAACATTCCTTAAAACACCTGGTGACTTCTTGTCAAACACAAGTCTAATTTCTTGGCGTTAGACTTCTTGTCTAACACCTTTTGAGTTTGGACAAACATTAAGTGCTGAACACACCCACGTGTGGCCTCAAGGCCTATCACCAAGGATAACAGGTTCTTACGAAGGTAAACAGATCTCACCTGAGAAAGCCAGGGCTAGGAGGAGGATGATGAGAACTGAGAATAAGACGATCAGGACGATCATGCTGCATAAAAAGAAACACAAACACAGGCAGTTCATGAAAGTAGGCACATTCCTGACTGGCACGCAGGGTAAGGCGGTATGCATTTCATAACATGAGTCAAAGTTTCAGGGCAGTAATCCAAAAGAAGCAGGTTTTCAGTTTCGCTTTTAACTCTTACAAATGGTACAAATATGCAATCGGCAAAATACGTTTGAAAAATAAAAGCAATGCCAGCAGCTCAGCAATAAAAAAAGGCCACACAGTAAGTCAACTGTCAACTGTAGTTACACAGGTGATTCACAAAAATGTTGTTGTTGTCGGCCGCCCACAGTCAGACTTTGGCACGCTATCCATGGGGATGTTTGTTCAGACCTGTCTTTTTATATTACTTTTTCATGATATTGTATTTTTGTATACGGTATAATAATGTATGATATGGGGACTTTTTATGTCATATTGTATTGCATCATATTGTATTTTATCATAACTTGGTGTTTCATACAGATCATATCATATCATGTCGTATAAAATCTTGTATAATATAGTATGACATTACACTGCAATGTAACACTGTGTTGTCTCATGTTATTTTCCATCTTATCATATCTCATATAATCACACTGTTGTGTACTGTACCACATTACATCCTACTGTAATGTAACGCATGAAAAGTGGCAACCAATCTTAAGAACTGAAGCTGATGCAGAATTGCTAAAAGCTGCAGTTCCCTAAGTGTCCACTTGAGACTGGCTACAAAAGCATCAAACACCACAAGCACACTAATTCAAAAATGTAAATTTTTGAAACAAAATAAATTCATTTACAACCTGGTTCATATATTTATGATGTATAATTTCAATCATATACACTTATATAATTAAGTTCAATCAGGACTTTACAACTTTTATGTCATATGGTTTCGTATTTTTGGAAAAAACACTTTTTTACAGTTGCTTACAACAGCTATCGGATGAAGTCTTTAATTCATACAGACAATTTTTTTTTTTTTCTCTTTTGCTTGTTTGTAAAGAATCAAACTACTAGCAATCTAATCCATTTTCTTTAGACCTATTAGTTGCAGTCAAAAAAGGTGTCAGAGTTCAATATTTGCCTCTGACAAAATAAAAGAAAGGAGTTTCAATACACAACAAGACTTTGGGAAAATTTAAAAAACCTTTTGTAAAGAATCTCATACAAATAAGTCTATTATTCTTCTTTCCTTAAGGATGATACTCAAGGACTGAAGACCGCTGAAAACTGCTGAATGTTTTCATAATTTCATTGCCATCAGTAGAAGACACACTCAAACTTTGGTACTGTACCTGTAGAAGATAATTTGGCCGAGTGAAGCCATGGCTGCTGATAAAATAGAAAACCTTCCTGTGTGTCAAGTCAAAGGTCCGGTCATGCCATTCTTCCTTAATATCCACTGTTCCTCCAAAAAGTTCACAAGCATACTCTTCTGTCTGAGGACGTTTTCTTTCTCCACATAATGACGGTCTGCTGCTTTTTTTCCCCCTCGCAGCACTTTTGACACAACACCATGAGTAAATATTACCTTTAAGGTGTGTACCTCACACTTGTTGACATGTAGTCTCATTAGTTTATCTTATTAAAATCAAGGTGCACGTAACTTCATTACAACAGGGATCCAGTTTTGTGAATATCTCAATTATTTAATGTTTATGTGCGTGAGACAGAAACTGCCATCTTGTGGATGAGCATTTTGTTTTTATTGGTCGTAATTTAAAAAAAAAAATGCTTCGCATGACGCGTAATTCATTGCCTTCTTTCAACATCATTCTACTTTTTTATACTCATTACCTGTATAAGGCATATTTACATCTTCAGTGACAGGATAAAAGCTTTGACCAAATCATTTTAAATCAGACAGAGGCCCTAAATTTGGCTGGAGTCTAATTTAATTCAGGGTTATAGTCCTGAGTTAGAAGAGAAGTTGTACTTCAATCTTTGAGAAGAGGTTATTCTGTGCTGAGCTCTGAGGTTTGGTACAATCTGGTTTTACCGGAAATCACCCGATAGAGCTGAGGCGCAGGCATATTTTATGACCGCAAGGAAGTTTTGCCAACCACAAGTCTTCATGTGACAGATGTAATGTGTGCAAAGTCTAACCAAATTAGAGAACAGCACCATGGGAAAATAAGTGTTGGCATTTTTGCATTTATTTTGTTTCAGTATCTAGACGCACATAAAAACCACATGGTACATGAGAGGGTGGTGGGTATTCATTTAAGTTGTAATCTCATACCCAGAGTCTGATGTCTTCTATTGTTATACCCTTACTGAGAGTAGTTCTTACAACATTTAAACTTTGATACGGGCAACAGATGAAAAAATAGCTGTGGGTTTTCCATTGACACAAGCACCAGAGACAAGACATGTCCTGCAGATAGGTTCCCCCAGAGACAAAAATCAGAGACACAGTTAACAGACCTCAGGAACTTTCCATGAGCACAAAGCCTGGAGAAAAATCTGTATCATCATCCATGACCAACTGGATCATCTTGGGATAACATGATACAACTTGAACATGCACACACATCTCTAACAAATGAGGAAAGGTAAAATTTCTATTTCTAATTATCTTTGGGATCTCTCCAGAATCACACCAAAAATAAAGTTTAGAGGGGAAATTTTTTGAAGAAAATATTTTTTTAGAATTTTTTTTATATTTTTAGAAAATTCATGGTATAATGATTTGTTGTAAAAGGACCTTTTTACTATTAGTGCTCTCAATACATTTACCTGTCTTTTGTGGTTTTGTTTTGGTTTCAAAAGAGAAAGTAAAATGTCTCAGTCATGCAAATGCAGGAGGCTGCTTTGACGAGGTCAAAACATTGGCACTCTGTTCACCTTTCATTTCTGGGTATAAACTTGAAACCTCCTCTCTCAGTCATTAGAATAGAGAGTTTCATCGGCTGTGCAGGCTAAGTCTTTTCAGCGCAGGGAAAAAACAAACAAACTTGGAGCTGTTTTTCAACAGAATATCTAACATTTTTACCAGCATGCCTCATTTTACACACGATTTTCCTCAAAGGCTCGTCGCAGTTTTCACTCATGCTGTGAGTGTAGTCCTGTTGATCGGCGTCTTCTTCATATTACAATACATATTTGACATGGATTTTGTGTGCTCGTGCAAAGAGGGTGAATATCAGAATGGTCTACTGTACATTTTTCTCCCTCCTGTTATTCTTGCATGGTTTGTCAACATCACTGAGCCCATCCACCAGAGGAGGATTTTTTCACACTGGTGTTTTCAGCATGGAAACGGTTTCCTCAGCAGTCTTCTAAAGTTCCTGATAGACTATGTCAGTCTGGGAGTCATATGGATCACTGCTGTTCTCTTTGACGGAGACTGGTACTTGTGCATATATACAAAACTGGAGCCTTCCCAAATTGGAATTCCTTGCAGATCAAACCTGACTGACAAGGAGAGCCGCATCAAAGCTGAAATTAAGATTGAATCGATCGTAAGTAACATGACTTAGCTTTTAACCATATTATTAAGATTGCTGGGACATGAAATTGATTTGAGAGATAAAAACATCCCAGCGTCTCTGCCCATATGGAGAAGATATTGTAAGAATTCCAGCTATATAAATTCCAGCTCCTGCGTCACTTTCATTTTGCCAGTGCGATCCCACTCTGCAGCTTGAAATAAAGAAAAGAATGAAAAAGGAAATGAGAAACAGTTGAGTTTGGCTGATTGAAGTGTGGACAGCTGAGTTTTTGTTCATAGTTCAAATCTGCTCCTTAATTAGCACAACAGTTGTTTGTCCTTGATTTTCTGTTGAAGTTAAAGAACTGAAAGAAACTTTGACTAGTTTCACTAAAACTTAAAATTTCTTGAGCTTTTGTGATTCTTTAAGTTTTGAGTGACCATCTTAAACTTTTGTGTCTTTCTTTCCAGAACTACGGCCTCTACGTCATCTGTTCCTTTGTAGTTCTCTGGTTCATTTGTGAACACATTCGCATTTGTTGCGTTAGGAGCAAGATTTGCAATGGATGTTGCTGTTCCAACCTGTCACCTCTTCCCTACTACAGAGGGGTTTATGAAGACCTTTTGGAAGAGAAGGTGAGCAGCCATTTGAAAACCAGGCTGGAAAAAATTGCTGAAAAAAGAGCAGAAGCCATCTGTGAGCCTTTCCTTAAGAAGATCGAGGCCCAAGAGCTGCAGATGGACAACAGCGAGGATGAAAACCACAGCGACATAAAAGCTTTGGGTGCCTGGTGGAATATTTCTCACTTTGATTTTCATTTGCTAAAGCCTGAATCAAGAGGATTCCCAAGGTTAGTCCAACATGGATGGACTGCAGTCTACCACTTTTTTCGATGCCGGCTGCAAAGATGAACTCTCTTTGAGAAATTATAATTAGAAAGAAGAATATACATGGCATCTAGAGGTGAATTGATTATTCAGAGTGGGTTGCCAGTTTGATCATTTTCCCTGCCGTCACAATATGTGGGCTGATTTACGCATCAGATTGTTAACAGTTCTCCTATTGTAGTGATATGTGGTTTTGTGGAGAAGCTAAATTAGCAGCACTTGCCTCTTGGTTTTGTGCTATTTTAACTCTGCATTTTTTATATATTTGCAGCCTGTTTGCAGTTATCTGGTTGTTTAATTGTTTTATATCCCATTATTTAAATTTTTTTTATGTTGCCTTTGTCTTAGACTTTTGCATCTGTCTGTGTAAGAAAATCAACACTTGTAAGCTAATGAGGGCAAGAGTTGAATAAAAGTCCCTCAGAAAAGATCAAGTTTTGGTGTAGAAAGCAGGAAAGTTTCTTATTTTCCTAAGAGCAGAACAGGAACCAGATGTTTGATTCTTCATTAGGTGTTTTGGACATGATCTTGCTATACATACTCATACCGTGTGGTGAAAGAGGACAGTTAAGAGAGAATTTCTTGCTGATGAAGGTATGTGATGAGCGGGATGTCTCGATAACAAAAGAGGAAGAGGAGCTGGAGGTGAAGAGTGAGTTCAATTCTCTGTCCCAGAGTGAGCCAAAAAAGTAATGGGTGCCAGTATCCTGTCAATACAAGTGTTCACATCAGCGACGTTTTCCCATTCTGTGATATTGCGGCATTTATTTTTTCGGATCATGGTCAATTTTTTAAAGTTTCGCATAATGTGTGTCCACTTCTGACCAACCAGATTGCATGTTGTTGCAACGTCAGATTCACAGGTATATACAACATGGCCAACCGGCTGATTGTTTATGTGTCGGAGAACAGAGTGCTTTTTGATAAAAGACACAAACAGTACAAAGATAACGACCTGAAGGACAACTTGTGGAGAGTCGTAGCGTCAGATCTCTCATATGACGATAGTTTGTGTGCTTTAACAGTTGGCTAAACGTCTTTGTTTTAACTTTCACCTATGCTAACCTATGCGAACGGTTGTTACCATAGTTTCATGTGCTTATCTTATCGCCTCTGATTGGCTATAAATGCTGACTGTTTGGCTTGAACATGTAATGACGTTTCCAGCTTTTCTAGCCAATCAGAGGCGAAGGAGGCAGGACGTTATTCATTTGCTCTTGTGTTGAATTTAGCGGAGGCGAACTGCCAGACCTCTGACCAATCGAAATGATGTTAGTGTGTTTATGATGTCACATCCAACTGAGCGCTTTATCATTAGTGTGCAGGAGCACCCTGCTTTATGAGACAAGTCCCTTAAAATATTTCACGACACTCTCTTAAAAGAAAATACATGGCAGGAAATAGAAAAAGCCCTCAACTTACCTGGTGAGTATATTGATATTATATTAATCCCCAAACATAGATGTGTAACATACCTAGCATATTATGAAGCTAAGCTAGCTGACTAACCAGCTCAGGGCAATTTTTTCAAAGTGCCGGTAAACTTTGGATATGGTTTTATAGATAAATATTATAGAAGCGCCAAACTTTATTTGCTAAGCAGATTTTATTTGCATAATCGCGTTGCACCCTGAGTATACAGAAAAAAATGCCTGACGAAACTTTCATCTTTTCGGGTTTTTTCGCCTCTTGCCCGGTGTGAAAGGACCTTTAGCATCCCTGTTGTCACCCTTTTATTCCCATTCAATCCAATCACTTGTTGCATTTTAATGTGATCAGTTGGGAGGTGTTCCTCCATGAGCGTTTTTAAGTGTTTTTTTTTTTGTTTTTTTTTTCAGAGTTTTATTGTATGTTTTGAACTTTTTTGAAACATGTCGCTGGAATCAAATTTAAACTGAGTGTATATTTTTGAACAAAGAAATAAGCTTTTAATTTAAAGTTTCATTTGTTGTTTTTGTACTGTTTCCATCTAAATCTAGGGTTTCAATAATTCAAAAACCATAAAA